ACTGACTGTTTAAAACAATCACAGATCCAATTAACATGTCTGACTGACTGTTTCAACAGGTCTGACTGACTGTTTCAACAGGTCTGACTGACTGTTTCAACTTGTCTGACTGACTGTTTCAACAGGTCAGACTGTTTTAACAGGTCTGACTGTTTAACAGGTCTGACTGACTGTTTTAAACACTCCACACTGTTGCTACATGTCGAAACTGTTGTTACATGTCGACACTGTTGCTACATGTCGAAACTGTTGTTACATGTCGATACGTTGTTACATGTCGATACTGTTGTTACATGTCGATACGTTGTTACATGTCGATACTGTTGTTACATGTCGATATGTTGTTACATGTCGATACTGTTGTTACATGTCGAAACTGTTGTTACATGTAGATACTGTTGCTACATGTCGAAACTGTTGTTACATGTCGAAACTGTTGTTACATGTCGAAACTGTTGTTACATGTCGATACTGTTGCCACATGTCGAAACTGTTGCTACATGTCGAAACTGTTGTTACGTCGATACTGTTGCTACATGTCGAAACTGTTGTTACATGTCGAAACTGTTGTTACATGTCGAAACTGTTGTTACATGTCGATACTGTTGTTACATGTCGATACTGTTGTTACATGTCGAAACTGTTGCTACATGTAGATACTGTTGCTACATGTCGATACTGTTGTTACATGTCGAAACTGTTGCTACATGTCGATACTGTTGCTACATGTCGAAACTGTTGCTACATGTCGAAACTGTTGCTACATGTCGAAACTGTTGCTACATGTCGAAACTGTTGCTACATGTCGATACTGTTGCTACATGTCGATACTGTTGCTACATGTCGATACTGTTGCTACATGTTGATACTTTTGCTACATGTCGATACTGTTGCTACATGTCGACACTGTTGCTACATGTCGATACTGTTGCTACATGTAGATACTGTTGCTACATGTCGATACTGTTGTTGCATGTCGATACTGTTGTTGCATGTCGATACTGTTGTTACATGTCGACACTGTTGCTACATGTCGGGGTCTAATGTCTGCTCGATTCATGGAGATGCAAGAACAAACCACATTAATTTGTATTTTTTACACTAGTTACCACAGTTAGCATCCTGCTTTTCTCTTCTAGTTCTTCAGACAAAAAGAAATCCAGTCTTTAGTATAAGGCAAAAAGACTTCAAACTTTGGCTTTATGAAAATATAAAACATTTTCTCAGTGGTTGTAATGTGATTAGACAGATACCAGTCCTGTTTCATGGACAGGGTTCAGACTTATTTGGCAGTGAAAGCAGGGGCAGGTAAGGAACGTTTCCAGCAGTCGACCTGTTRACAAAACGTGGTTGTCTCATCTCCTGAGGAGATGTGTGTTTGTTTTTCTGCTCAGCAGGGTTTAATGAATGAATGCCATGCTTGTGTTCCCAGCTGGACACCAGCACAGTCCTGGTCAGGCTGGAGTTGTGGAGGCTTCAGAGACCAAGGTTGAAGCAGAAGCAGTTCTTGATGCTACTGGGAAACATGAGCACAGCCACGAGGAGCTCCACGCCTGCATCGGTGTCTCTTTGGTCCTGGGCTTCGTCTTCATGCTGCTYGTGGACCAGATAGGCAGTTCTCATGTTCACAACACTGAAGGTCAGATTTATTCATGGTTACAGCTCTTACAGGGAACTGGATCAACTGGGAGGGAACAAACCATGGGCAGTCTAGGTGAAACAAGACAAACGTAAACTTTACACCATGGTTTCATCATATGGATCAACAGAAGCTTGTCTGTAAAACATTTACAAACTGTAGGAAAGTTAACGGTCAGTTCTATAACACAACCCAACGTCCTGTGACTTGTTTCAACTCTGAGGACCTGTTGTCAAGTCTTTGACTTGTAGAACTCTAAACAGGACTTGATCTCTCAATAACATCAGATTCTTTAATTGTTTTTCTCAGTTTTTTATTTTTTTGTAAAGCGTATTGTGTGTGACGGACCTGAACCATAATTAGAAGTCAGTATTTGACATCAGGATGCACAGTTTGGTGTATACTCACACAGGGTATATGTATATTTGTTTATTTTAATCACTGCAACCTAATGAAACAACTGTCCAAAGTGCAGCAGAACAAACASTGGACCAGTGCTACAGCAACATAAAGCAGGCAGAGCCAGCTGAGTCCAGATGTCACTGAGCACCTGTCTGATCCACTCAAACATTACTGTTCAGCAGGTAGAGAACAGGAAATAAAACAAGCTTTGCTTGAAGTTAAAACCACAACACTGTTAATGGTACAACTGTAAATTAGTATTATACTTTAACTTTATTATTATATGTATATTTATATATATATTAGTATTATATTTATTTATTATTGTAAATAGGGATGCASTGATGTGTAAATCTCAGCCGATATCTGATGTACTGTATTTATTCATGTATAATACTAGAAATTTAACCAAAAAATCCTCCATAAAGTGAGGGGATAATATTATATACAGGTTATTGATAATTATATTTTTAYGCTTTTTATGACCAAAAAATGATGGTATTATACATGAATAAATATGGTAATTATTGCTGTTATGGTTGGTAACCAATATTTACCAATATTACACAAATGCACAAATTATATTATACATACACACACAAACACACKTGGGTCTTTTTTTGTTACAGTAAATAAACAATCAGAGCTCTGACATGACTGTACTTCAGTTAATCCTGCTGTGCACCATCAGTATCACTATCATGATCAAACAGATGCTGCTCAACCAACCAGCTCCCAGAACACAAACACARAGATAAACAGTGGGAAATAAATACTGGATGTTGATATCAGCCCAGTTTTACATATCGGACCAGTACGATATTCTAAAAATGACCATTATGGACCGATACAGATTTTAATTTTGATATGTTAAACATCCCTAACTGTAAATGTTACCACAGATCCACAACTGAATATAACAGGTATGCTTTAATCTCTGCCTTCATGTGACACGACATGTTTTTACTCAGAACAGARAAGTAGTTTTAAATCTTTACTTTGATTTATCTTCTTTCCTTTAACCTCAATTTACTTATTATTTTATGTGTCTATTTATTTTATTCATTTCATTGAAAACAAAATAAATTCTATATACAATAGAAGAAAAAATACAAATCACAAATAAAATAAAAGGCAGTAGAAAGAGAAAAAAAAATATATCTAACTGCTGCTTTTACCTTGAATAAATTGAAACAGTAGTAATTTACAGAAGTAATTTCAAAGCTCTTGTTGTGTTTTTCATGTGGTTTAGATCCAGAGTCAGCGAGAGTCAGCAGCTCTAAAATCACCACCACTCTGGGTCTGGTGGTCCACGCTGCAGGTAAGTCTGTTTTCATGTCATCACACCTGTCCACAGGTCCTGACTGCTCCTCCTTCAGAGAAACAGTTTGGACCTGCAGACATCACATGCTTCTGTCAGCACTGACTGGGTTTCCACTGACCCGGAAAATGTGCAAATTAGAATTTAGAAAATAAATTTGCTCAATGGAAACAGTTTTTTCACATCACAGGAGTCACG